AAAAAAAAAAAAAAAAAAAAAAAGAAACTTTGAGGACAAGTATTCTGCTAAAGGGCTAATCCACAGGCCAGAATTCAACTTACTGAAGCCTTTTCTTCACATATTCTATTACATTTTGTAACACTTCACACTACCTGTTAAATTTCTCCCTATAGGCTGCCCAATATGTAGCACGTGTATCTACAGTGATATCAAGTATTTAGCACATACCCTTCAGAGCCTAGACATAGCTTCCATTTTCCTGGAACTTTGCATACTGGTAACTGCTATGAGTTGACACATAATCCAAGATTGACTTACTTTTTTCTGATCTGGAGGCTGAGGTGTTAAGTTTTGGTTCAGTAGGTAGTCTCTGTAGCCAACTTCTGAAATAGTGCTGCTCTTTATCTTTCTGATCACATTAAAGTGTCAGTCACAGCAGAGATCAAGTTGTTTCGTTTTTTTTTGTTTGTTTTGTGAGACAGTTTCACTATGTAGCCCGGGCTAGCCTTGAACTCATGGCAATGTTCCTGCCTCATCCTACTGAGTACTGGGATTACACACATTCACCACCATGCCCAGCAACAGCTCTTTTGTTTTTATCCTGGCACTTCTGAATTGACCTTTTCCTCCTAAGAATCTGGAGAAAGTGCTAGAACAGCAAATGGGTTCCTCTTGGGTCCTAATACCATATATTGGGTTTATATAGTACTTATGCTTCTTTTTAAGCAATGAGTCCCTGATCTGACTTGTCTTCTGGAAATTTCCTCTAAACATAATCAGGTTACAAGCTCTGAACTCCTTAGACATTTGTAAAATGCACTTACTTATATATATAAAAGCAAAGTAATTCACTTCCACTCAAGAAACACTGAACAGCTTATACTATGTTGCAGGCACTGCTATGTGTGGAGGTGGGAGAACAGTTTAGTCCAGGCCATGAGTAGTAAAAATAGGCAGTAAGCTCTGCAGTGTGTTGTGCCCCTGGCATCCACTTCCATGCTCAAAATAGTGTTAAATGAGTAATATAGAACTAAAGTATTTCTGGGAATAAGGGATGGGGATACTGATAATGAGGACTAGGAGCCCCCTGAAAAGCAAGGGAAAGAAAACAAGACACGTGAAATGGCTGTTGCAGTGGCTTGGCCAGGTATCACGTCTTCCCCAGCAGGTCACATAGATACCCAACCTTGTCTTCCTGGTTTGGGCTAAGGTCTCCTTGAGAAAGCATGGGACGCTGAGGATCTTCTGAGTAGCAAATGCCTATACCATATGTGAAGGTAGTGTTAAGAGCACTCTGGCAGGATTATCCTTTGGGTCCTGTCCCTTCATCTGAGCAGACTTCATCCTTGGGAACAAGCCATGTTGTATTGTCCTCATTGAGTCACAGCCTCAGTGACATTCTACTTTTTCTAAATACGTCAGAGTGAGAGTTCATAAGCTATGTATCAGTTGGGTGTCTCAGCAAGTGACTTACCTTTTCAGCTTAAAGATTGCCCCCAAGGTATTTGGGTCCTTTTAGGATCTACACTTATTTTAGTTTGGGAGGTATTTAATATCCATTTTGAAATTATTGGGCTGGATTTCCTTTCTCTAGGGTTTGGCAGGACCCTGCTGGTGCAGCTCGCTCTATGTCGTGTGGTATATCACTGCTCAATCAGGCCTCAAAGAACCTTCCTCTTGAAAACAATTGGTGATATAAGGCGAGCCCTTTGTACTTTATTCAGTGCTCTGCTATATGCCAAAACCAAACAAAAATAATGACCTGTCAAATGAGGAAACGGAGGCATACCCAACATCACAACACTATTATGTAGAGGGTCTTGAACCCCTCTCTTCTGTTACCAGGTCACAGAGGCTTTCTACTTTTCCATGCAGATTTTTTCTGTAGTCTTGCCATTCTTCCTGGTTGGCAGATGTCAAGGAATATCTTTTGGTGAATGGATTCCTACATCTGTTTTCAAAAAGGTCTTTGCTGCCAATATCATTCATTCATGTATTTAACAATTAATTACCAAGCACTTTCTTTGCCTAGCTGGTGGCAAAATATTGAAATGTAGCATCCATGCGCTGCTTGTGTTTCCTATGAACTTTTGTTTTTTTTTGGTACCTGGGATCAAACTCGGGTCCTTGTGCTTGTGAGGCAAGTGCCAGAACCTCTGAGCTAAATCCCTGGCCCTATGAAATTTTTTTTGATGTTGACTGTGAATTTGTTTTTCCTCTTACAGAAATGCCAGATAATGCTGCAGCTCTGCTGGGCATTTGCTGTAAACTCCAGATTATTCCTACACTGTACCACTTGGTAAGGAACCTTCCAGTTGGGATCTTAGGGTGGACAGGGATGGGGGAAAGAGAGGTAGACTCTTAACAGCTGACAAAAACACCCATCTCTAGTTTTCTCATCCACAACAGCTCTACAGGATAGGTTAAGCAGCTGATGTCATTAACCCTACACAATTCTTGAAGATTGAGACCCAAAGGGAAATATTTAGTGAACTGGCCAGCAGAGCCAGGACTGCCACCTTTAAGACTCCAAATTGCAGCTTTTTTCATTGTTTGGGACTATGGCCACATCTTGGTGCTGCTTTGCAAGAACAGGTCTGATGCTATATTCGCAGGGTAAGTTCTGTGGTTAGATTGGCTTGATGCAACTTTTCATCAGATTCATATTCAGAGGAGGTATTCAGGACTGCTTTGCCTTAGGGAGACACAGTCAGCTTCTTTCACCATCATTTAGAAATATCATTAGCTTAGTCCCCCTGAAAAAATTGTAAGAGCAAGAGTTAGGTACTGATGAGTGAGCCCCAGAGAATCAAGGTTAAGCTTTTCCTTTATAGTTACAGGCTGGGCCATTTATAGAAGGAACTAGAAATAAAGCTGCCTTATAACCACCCTGATGGGGGAGCTACTCTGATTCAGCTTCTGTAGATGTTGCTCAGCCAGGAGGAGAACAGAGCATACTTGACCCATTCCTTTAAGGGTCTGGCCAATGCCAGCCTGGTTTGTTGGTCCAAAGGACTATAGCCCAGAGCTGTTCTCAGATCAGGGAAACAGTTATTGCACAGACCACCTGAATTGTGTTAGGAAGTTATGGGTATAGTGAGATGTTGCCTTTGCACAGTAAACATCAGAAGACTAGACAGCATGGCACTATTCCAAGGAGCAGTCTAGATTTTTACTTGCCCAGAGAACACTGTATTCTTACACACTGATGGCAAAAACTGAACTACCTGAAAATATGCCAGCATGTATATACTGGGCCAGTTGAGGTTAAAGGCTGGTGGCATAGTTTGGTTATGGAAACTGTACCATTAGATCCTCATTGGTGTAATGATGAGCAAAATGAAAGCTCTTTACCCTTTTCCAGCAACTGAGAGCTTAGTACTTACCAAGTTAGCCCTTCCCAAGTACTTACAGACTTAACGACATTCAGAAGTATGTACAAAAGAAAATCCTACCCAGGCCACTGTGTGGTAATTCCTCCCCATTCATGCTTGATTGTCATCTTCCTTGAGCATGGTTTGCAGGTCCTTACCTTTGTATTGCTCCCAAGTTGTTCTCTGATGGTGTTCTCAGAGTACCTGATAGAAAACACTCAGGAGTCCCAGAATGGAAGGCATTCTGCTTATGTACTAAACTACCCACCCACAGAGCCATTTGTTTCTCTTGGGAAACAGAATCATTTTCTAAAAAAGATCTTCCTGGATAGCTTCATATAATCTTTCAAGATTTCCATTAGTTTTTTGTTTTGTTTTGTTTTAAAGCAGCCAGGCTCCTGCCTTCTAAGGAATGCTCCTGCCTTCTAAGGAATCTGAGTATCGTGTGCTTCTTCTTTTTTTTTTTTTTCCTTTTTATTGAGTTTACTGGTACATTTTAGGTATACAGTACAGTTACATTCATTATTGGGATCTTGTACCTTTACATGACAGGTCTTAGTTCTCATTTTTTCCCTTTTCCTGCCTTCCCTTCACCCCCTTCTCCCCTCCCCATTTACAAACACTTCATTTCTATTTTTCATTTTCTCATATTTTTTTCTTTTCCCTTATTCCTTTTCCCCTACCCTTCCCACTTTCCCTACACCTCTTTTCTTCCTATTTCACACTGTTAATTATCTCATTAGGATCTTGTGTACTATTATAGTTTTTCACACCAGAGAAACTATTTGGTATTTACACATGTGTGACTATTTCACTTAGGAGTATATCCTCAAAATGTATCCATGTGCTTCTTATAGGGCACAAAAATGTGTCTTGTGATCAGAGTAACTTTTAGGGAGGTTTTCTGAAGATTTATGGGATTAACATATTTCCCAAGAACTGGTTAAGAAGGTAAATTAGAATCAACAGAGAATGTTAACTTTATCCCACCACCTTTTGGGTTGCTTTAAGACTCACCCATGGGTAAAAGGGGCTACAGATGTTTAGAATAAGAGGCTGCATGCTGCTCAGCACTTGTATATCCACCAGGCACTAAGGATATGGTGCCCAATGTGAAGGCTGTGATGCTCATATACTTAAAACCTCAGGTCTAATCTACTTTAAAGCAAAGCATAATGCATAGTTTGCCATGTGATCCAAGTGGTCACATGAAGCCTATGTTGTGTTTGCACAATCTACAAGGTATAGATAGATTCATGAGGCTGATTTTGATAATAAACACATACGTACTTAAACATTTTGTTGAGTACTGCTCTTCTGTAACCTGAACAAGACACATATTCCTTTAAGTAGAGCATTTCTGGAATCCTTTTGGATTTCCTTATTAAAATTCATACCTATTTTATATACCTACTTGATTTTAAAATTTTGTACTTTAAAAATGTGTTACACAGATCAAGATCTTAAAAGCAGCTTAAATATTTCAAATATATTTTGAGAATTAGAACAATATCCAAAATAGCCTCCAGGCAGAGTTAGCTTTCCTGCAGTACAACCAGTGTCTGTTTTAAGTAGGTTAGATGGTGACCACCTTAGACAAGGTCCTTGCTTTCAACAGCAGCTGAGTGTTTAGTCAGGGGAAGTAGACTAAATGGAGATTGTAAAGGGAAAATTTCAGATATAGTAAGTTTTGTAAGACAGTGAAATAATGTAATAGTGGCTGGGATATGGGTTTGGGGTGGATAGATGGAGAGGACTTAGTAAAGGCTCTCTGATGAGGCACTGCAACTGATAAATTTAGACAGAAAAGTATTCCAGGTAGAAGGAATAGTAAGAGCAACTGTTCTTGGGAAGGAAGCATAATTAAACAAATGATACCTACCTTTGAGGGGTTCCTGAAAATATATACGAAATTCTCATATCCCCATTTAAATAAAAAACCAGATGACAGCATGATAGAGGTGCCTGCTTGAAACTGCCACAGAAGAATCAGGAACTAAAGGGGATTTGTGTTACAAGGAGAGCAGATGAAGGAGGACTCTGGAAATTAGCAAAGTAGTGATATAAGCTCTAAACAGTCCTGAAAGCCAGTAAGATAATCTGGAGAAAACAAAGCAATTCACAATCTCAGCCTAGCTCCCCAAGCCAGGCAGGGAACTCAACACCATGAGAAAAGGTCAGCTACAAAATGCGATCAACCCTGATTGTAGCAGCAGGCCTGACTGCAGAACTCCACAGTCCTTATAAGCTTTAAATACAATTTAGGGGGCTGGCTGGTCTAAATGTGAAACCACTATTCCAAAGTTGCACCACCAAACCCAAACTACTATACTAGCCACTGCTATATGCCATCTTAGCATAAGGGATGTCTGCACCTCCATAGGTAGAAGACAACTTCAATTTACTGCAGTTTCAGAAATAGTGGCTGCTGTGCCAGAAGCCCGAGTTACACATGTATGTGCATGTGGTTTACATGTTGAGTTTTCTCCACTGTTGCAAAATTGTACCTTCACCTGTTCCTGTCAGGAGACGGGAAAGCTTCCAGTTGAGTCCTAAAGCTCCAAGAACAAGGCTACCAGGGGCTGCAATCCTTATCAATATCTGTGTCAACTTGTGAGAACCAGTAGTCTGCTTAACAACTCCCAACCTCAGGACTGCCGCTGCTAGTGCAACAAGCCTCAGCACCACTCAAGCTTGCCCTGAGAACCAAGGGGGTAGTCCCATCACTGTTCCAGAAGCTTCAGGACAGTGGTTACTGATGCCACAGCCTTGGGCTGACTAGTACTTGTCCTAATAGGAACATTCTCATCACGGGCTTCAGGTCCAGGACTACGATCCTTAGGTCCAAGCACCATTTGTGCTCAACAAATCCTGCACATCTAGGAGTGTGGATACACCACTGCCACAATCCCAAATGTTACCTCAAAAACCTATGGAATGTTGAGTCTTCCCTTTCAGGCCACAACCGCCAGTAGTAAAAGCTTGGGACTTTCTTTTTCTCACGGGACTGGGAAGGTATCTGGGTTCCACAAAAGCAACTAATAGTGCTGTAAGACCCAGCACCAACTGCAATTTCCCTGTAAGACCAAGGAAAGGTCCCCTTTGTGTTCCAAAACCTTGAATCCACATTATCAGTGCCCTAGACTCCAGCATCTCCTATGCAAAACCCATGACACTGGTGCATGGTTCCATCCTGTGGTTTGAGGACCATGGCTGCTGATGCTACTACCATCCTTGCCATCAGTTGTGTTTGCCATGAAGGACAGTCCTTTCCATATCCCATACCACTGAGACTGGCAGCTGTCACCACAAACGTGTTTTCAGAGCTCAACTCTGTGAAGCCAAAGATGCTCAGCTTTGGAAGCCTGCATCCACTGAAAAGTCCTACAGCTACTTTCATGAATTGCTACAGTACAGACCACCAAGGGAAACTGCAGACATTAAATCAAAGATAAGGAAATCAGAAACTATGCTGAACTTCCCCTATAACCAAAACACCTCTTCAACTGATATCCTATATCCTGTGTAAATGAAAAATTTTTTCCTACAAAAAGTCCTTCATTAAATTGTAGGAGGTGAGGTAAATTTTGCACCATGTGTGTAGGCATCAATCCTAATCTAAGGACGCAAAGAAACATGAGACTTTGAAAGAACAATATTCTCCAGAAACAGATCTCATTTTGAAGGAAATACTTGAAACACATTTAAAATAATCCAAAGGAACCTCAGTGAAGTGCAAGATAATACAGATAAACAATGCAGAGAAATGAGAAAAATAATTCAGACTGAGAAATTCATGAAAGAGAACCAGTCAGAAATCCTAAAACTAAAAGTTTCAAGCAATGAAAAATATAATGGAGAGATGACAAAAAAGACTAGACCAAACAAGTAGAGTAAACTTCTAAACTGGAGGACAAGTCTTTTAACCCAGTCCAAAAAATTTTTTTAAAAAAATCAAGCCTCTTAAGACTATGGGACACCATTAAATGAACAAATGTTTGCAATACGAGAATTCTGGAAAACAAAAGAAAAGGCATCAAAAATCTATCTCATAAAATAATGCCCCAAACTCCCCAAATCTTCAAAGAGATATGGATTTATACATACAAGAAGTTCAAAAACCCCAACAAACAAAATAAACCATTGCCAAAGCATATTACAGTAAAAATGTCAAAAGTACAAGACAGTCCTATAAATGGCAAGGGAAAGCATCAATTGAATATAAGGAATGTCCATTGGACTTATAGCAGATTTCTCAGCAGAAACCTTAAAGGCCAGAAGAGAATGGGATAATACATTCAAAATACTGGCGAAAAACCCTGCCAACCAAGAATACTATACCCAGAAAAATTATCAAAACGTAAGAAATAAAAGTATTTCACAGATAAGAAACTGAGGGAATTCATTGTTACTACACCAGCCTTCCTAGAAATACTTAAGGAAATTCTATACTAGAAATGAAAGGCTAACTTCCACCTTAAACACATATATAAAACTCACTAGAAGACATGTGAAAGAAAAGACAAACCTTGGTGTGACAGAAAACTACCAAATAAATGAGAGGTAGAACACATAACATAAGTACAGGAGGAAGCTTATACCCATTATAATAACCTTGACTGTAAATGGATTACATTCACCAGTAAATAGACTAGCTGAATGAATAAATGAACAAGATCCAATTATATGCAGCCTATAAGAAACTCACTTCATTGGTAAAAACACCAACTAAAAAGGTATATTGCGCAGTTGGAAACCAAAAGCAAGCAGGAGTAGCTATACTCAGAAAAAGCAGATTTTAAGTCAAAGGTCATTATATTTATAAAAGAACCAATTCAGTAAGAAGATATCACAATTCTCAGTATACATCCAACATGGGACCAATTCAAATATATAAACAATATTACTAGATCTAAATGGGGGAGGGGAGAGACTGACAGTAACAGGTATGGACTTCAACACTTACATAGAAACTTAAAAACTCCTAAGTTGAACCATATTATAGAGCATATGGAACAGATATTTACAGAATTTTGATCTAACAGCAGCAGAATACATATCAGCACATAGAACACTCTCCAGGAGTGATATTTTAGGCTACCAATTAAGTCTCAAGAAATTTAAAAAATTGAAATAATGTATCTTCGCAGACCACAATGGAATACAACTATAAATCAACAAGAACGGAATATATACAAATACATGAAAATTGAGTATATGCTACTTAAGTGACTAATGGGTAATTGAAAAATTAAAATTTCTGGAAACAGGAAAATGACAATACAAATATCAAAGTCTGTGGGGTACAACAAAAGTAGTACTGAGAAATATCTTTTAAAAAGTACATTTAAAAATTGTAAAATGTGAAACAACTAAGTGCTCAAGGACTTAGGAAGCAAGAACAAACCAAACTCCACATTAGTAGATGGAGACAGACATCAGCACAGAAATAAAAACAAAAATACCCCAAAATCAGTGAAACAATTTTTTTAACAAATCTGAGAAAAGTTTAGCTATATTAACAAGGGAAAAAGAGTCAAAATCAGAGGAAAAGGGGGACATTACAGCTAATAACACAGAAATACAGTAGATCATAAACTAATGAATAATTATGTATTAATGAATTAGAAATGCAGAAGGCCTTGGGTTCAATCCTGGTACTGCAAAAGAAAATAAACACAGAAAACCACAAAAATTGGAAAACTCAGAAGGAATAGATAAATTTCTGACTACAATCTACCAAAAGGAAGCCAAGTATATTATCTAAACAGCCCCCCAAATGAGTCATAAGATTGTAGTAGTAAAAATATCCCAATTAAAAAAGTCCAAGACCTCATGGCATTACTGAGGAATTCTACAAAATAAAGCAATTCCAGTTGTTCTTACACTATTCCAAAACAAAAACAAAAAATCAAAATGGAAGAAATTCTGAACTTGACATCAAAGTCACTATTACTTTGATATCAGAACTACAGTATTAACAATAGAAACCCATACTTATGAACAAAGAGATAAAAACTGTAAATATAACCAAACAATTCAACAGCACATAAAGATCGTAAACTGACAAAGTGGAATTAAATAAAGTGACAAAGTAGAATTTATTCCGGAGGTTTCAGCATATGCAAATCAATAAACATGATACAACAGTACATATGCAGATAAATTACTGATTAAGGGTCAACATCCATGATAAAAACGCAACAAATTAGGTGTAGAAGAAACATACCACAAATACTACAGGTTATATTTGAAGAGCCCACAGGTAATATAGTGAATAGGGAAAAGCTGAAAGTATTTCCTAAAAGTAGGTAAGAAACAAGATAGCTAGTTTCAGCCCCCTTTTTTTCTTTTCTTTCCTTTCCTCTTCTCCCCCTCCCTCTGCACATCCCCCTCTCCCTCCTCTCTCCCTTTCTGTGCCCCCCCCTTCAGATACTGAGTTTCAGAACCTTGCGCTTGCAAGGCAGGTGGTGGAAGCACTGAGCTAAATCCCCTGCTACTTTAATTTTTTAATAATACTCTAAGTCTTAGGGCAGTGAGGTAAGATAAAGAATTAAGAGGCATCCTGAGTAGAAAGAAACAAGTTAAATTATCCATGTTTGCAGATGATATGATTTTCTAAGTAGAAATACTCCATCAAAAAGGTGCTACAACTCAAATTCAGTAACATTTCAGAGTACAAAATCAACATACAAAAAACAGTACCATTTTAATACACTAATGAACTAATTGAGAAACTGTCCCATTCACAATAGCTACAAAAAATATTTAGGAATACATTTAACGACGGAAGTGAAAGATCCTGAAATATGTAAGAGTCTAAGAAAAGAAACTAGAGGGGACAGAAAAGAAAAAGATATCCCCTGCTCACAGATGGGAAGAATCAATGTTAAAATGACCATTCTAGCCACTAGAAGAATACAGAATTCCCAACATATAAAAATGACTAATATTTGAAGAGATGGAAATGATTAGATTGACATTGTACACAAGTACTGAATTTCCACAATATACCACAAATGTCTCAATTTAAAAAACAAAGACCCTCAATAAACTGTATTATTCGTCTATGATAAAGGTGTTTTAGGAGCTTTCCAATCTACTGGATTTAACAGTTCAGAGTGAGGATTCAGACAGAGGACTCTAGGCACATAAAATCAGTCCTGAAGTCCTGCCCTGGATTAAATACATCTTGTTTATCGTAAAGGTTTTCCTGTTCCACTGGGGAATGTAAAAGTTAAGGGTTTTTTCCCATAATTTCCTAATATTGCTGTCTAACTATGTGGATTTTCTATATTTTAAAGTAAGTCTGTTTAAATATGTCATTTCAGCTTCGTGTTTTATCTGATGATGGCATATGTGATCTTGAAGACCCAACTTTGGTCCCTCTGAAAGATACAGAAAGGTTTGGGATTGTTCAGCGCTTGTTTGTTGCAGCTGACATTAACCTAGAACAAGAGCATTCATCTGTAAAAGCTACTGTACTGAAGGATCCTCATGTCTTCCCTCTAATTCTTTATATTACTCTGAATGGACTCTGTGCTCTGGGTAAAGAACATTAGTAATGTCATTCATCAAATAGAAGTACACATAACTGGCCAAGGCTGGGTGTTTTTAGAATTAAAATACTATTTTGGGACTTAGGTGTGATGTACCTTAAAAGTTGATCAATGAAATGAACTACAAAACAGTTTTAATAGTGTTGATTTTCTGCACTATGAATGCCACTAGGCGCTCCACATGTTTTTTTTTTTTTTTATATCAGAGGCCTTCACATGCTGGTAAATGGTGAACACCAGGTATCCAAGGTAGAATCTAGTATCTGAAGAGCTGGGGGTGGGGAGAGAGGTGAGATTCTAAGCAGTTGTACACTCAGACCTTTTTTTTTTCCTGCAGAATAATGAATCCATTTATCATTTTTCTTACATTTTCTATTTTGTTATACAAAAACAGAGGAGTCTTACATTTTAACCCAAAAATTCATTTTAAATTGTGAATGCCATGGCAAGGCAGTTTCTCTTCACAGAATCTACATTATTTGGTGAATGAAAAAAGAACTGCTACTAGAGATGATGTATTGTTCCACAAAACAAAATTACACAAAAAAATCTAGTAGCAATATCCCCTCCTTGAAGGTCTATCTTATAATTTGACCTTGCCATGCTGTGATAAACATACTGATTCTATGTCTAGAACAATATGTTGTTCTTATGCATTTTTTCTATCAAAGGAAATTTTGAACTGTATATATTTTGCTTTTCACTGTTTTGACATCCTTCTATTATAAAAGACTTGGACTGTCTGCCCAGGACTTCTGAATCCAGTGACACAATCTTCCATCTGTCAGGGACCTGAAGCCACTGGGGATGAGGAGCAGTAAGTACTGGAGGGAGAGAAGCATATTACGCAGCACATGTTCTGCTTTACCTCAGCATCATCTGCTTAGTCCCTTTCTTCAAGGAAATTAAAACAAGGAATTAAAAAATAACACTTTTATCATTTCTATTAAAAATGACACAGCCTTGTGAAAATGCTTATTATATGTGTGTGGGGGTGGAAAGGACATAAAGCTATATGTTGTTGTGGCTCCTGTACACAAAAATTATACACAAATTGGAAAAGAATATGCAAAGCCTGTCTGATTTTCTGAAAGAACCAACTTCAAAAATGTGTAATATGAATTGACTTATCTACATAGTTATTGAGATGTATGGAAAAAAAATCACAGAGTTTATAGGAAAACAAGCAGAAGTGCTTTTGGGTTCACAGACTTAGGGGTTAAGACAAGAGGCAAAGGGAGTTTTATCCTATTATTTTCTGGAGACATCAGAAGTAAATGGATTAACAATTCCTTAAGTATGAAGGATGGAATCATGGAAACTAGTTTCATTTGGGAAGAGGCTTCTTGCTTATATTCACAGCCACACCTCTATCTGTTGTCAGACTCGTGGGTCCACTTGCTTTCTTATTGCAGGTAGAGGGCCAGGCTGTGTGCAGGTCAGCTCCTTGTATCACCTACTCAGCTTTTCTCTTTCTTTTTTTTGCCAGCTAAGCAGAGAGGCCTTATGATCTTGATCCTGTATTTCAATCTTCCCTAACTCTAAAATTTTTTGAGGGTGTAGTTTTGGAAAGCCATTGAATTGCTTAGGTTAGGACAGAGGAATACATACATGGTTAGGGTTTCCTTGCTGAAAAATGGAAGTGGGCAAAAAATTTATTTAAGTGGGAAAAATTAAATGACAGCACTTAAAAGATATTAAAGCTAATATGAGGTCCTAAATCTTTACCTCTGAACTTTTATTTTACCTATAATGAAATAATTTCTCAAAACAGTAAATATTTCTTTGTATATACAGGAAAAAATTTCACAGGAGTTTTCAATCTTACAGATTGAACATTTGAATAATTTTTGTTTTGGATAACATGGAAATATGTAAAAAGACTTAACAGGGACAGTTTTTGAAAAAGTTATAATTATACTGCAGGAAGATTATCATAAGGGCAACAGTACTATTTATTTTATAGAGGAACTAGTAATATAATTTATTATTAACTTACTTTTTATTATTTTTAAACCTTTTCATCAAAAAGTTAAAACAGCTTGTTTACCTTTGATTTTTATTTTTATTTTGTATCAGGGATTGAACTTGGGACCTTGCACTTACAAGGCAAATCCCTGGACCCAACTTTGATTTTTAGATTGCAACAAGCATTTTTCTTTCTTCTACAATCACTTCAAAGACCAAAGGCTAAAAAGTCCATGTATCTGTGTCCAGAGGAAAGATATATCAACATGAACTGGTGGGAGGGGATTAAAAAATACTGCCCTGTCAAAGTTTTCACATCTATTTTGGCTATAACAGAGTTCAACAAAACATTTAAAAAATTGCATTCATTTTTGAACCTCACTGTTCATTATTCTGTGACAGAATCTAGGATGCTACTTAAAAAAAAAAAAAAAAAAAA